CTTCATGCGATAATCCAGTTTTGAGCATAAAGTCATTTGCATTTTTTGATGGAAACATAGCTAATGACGTCAAAACAGAAGAATTTCACATATACAGTATACAATGTTTTCAAAACGATTTGCATTTATACATATCTAAAGAAACTGATGCTGTAATACATATTTAGGCCAGTAGTTGGTGCTGTCTTGATAGTAAATTCTACCTATAGGGAAGTTTGTATAAAGCTGCTTTTCCACTATTTTCCCAATAGCCTAGTGTTTAAATGCGCCGACAAGACCGTACAGATCAGAGTTCAATTCCTGACTCAAGGTCCTTTACCAATTATTCCCCTTTATCTGCTCCCCACCCATTCCAGTCTGAACTCTTCTCTATCCTATCCAATAAAAATACAAAATAACCCTAAAAATCAATTATTAAAAAATGTATTCCAGTTGTATAGCCTTAAACGATGCGGCACAATTACAAACCATACTGAACTCAAAGTTCTAGACACACACTCTGCGAAATGGCCCCCTATACCCTCATTTATTATTCCCTACAATAGTCCACCAACATAGTCCACCTGAAGGAGTGGATGAAAACAAGTGAATGAGAGCGCTCAGAACAACAAAAGCATGCCGCTTTGTTTGTGCTTTGATTATGGTTGATAAATCTCTCTGATTACACTGATTAGATTTCGAACTTCTAGGTCAGAACCTGTAATATTATTTAACACTAAGCGAACTGTCTATTAGTAATGAAACAGCGTATTTCGATTTTTATCATGAATACAGATATAATTAAATACTAATTTATTTAAAAACTTACACCAATAGGATTATGCCGTGGATGCTATCTTGTGGTTAGACAACAAAATATATTTATTCGGCACATAAATTCTCACAGTGCATTTTGGGTATTTTCTAGCTGTTGAATTGGGATTAGTTGAGGGGTCTTCAGAACACCCCTAGAAAGGGCTGTTCCCTCAAACAGTGCACTATTTAATGGTATAGAGAAGTGTTTTTGGATACAACCATGGTTAGAAATCGGGTTAGACGTGTGAAGCTGCGTTTCCATCCACCTATTTTTATGCGCATATTGAAATATCACATAAAAAACCTTGATGGAAATGCCAAGATGTTCACAAACTTTGAAAATGTGCATAAAAAACTGTTAGTCGGATAAACAGTGGCACAGTAGGAAGTGCTGTCGCCTCACAGCAAGAAGGTCGCTGGGTCAAACCTCGGCTCTGTTGGCGTTTCTGTGTTGAGTTTGCATGTTTTCCCTGCCGTCGCATAGGTTTCCTCCAGGTGTTCCGGTTTCCCCCACAGTCCAAAGACATGCGGTACAGGTGAACTGGGTAGGCTAAATTGTCCGTAGTGTATGAGTGTGTGGGCAAATGTGTGTGTGGATGTTTCCCAGAGATGGGTTGCTGCTGGAAGGGCATCCGCTGCATAAAAACTTGCTGGATAAGTTGCCGGTTCATTCCGCTGTAGCGACCCCGGATTAATAAAGGGACTAAGCCGACAAGAAAATGAATGAATTTGGCACCTGTTTATTAGGACGTTTTATTTGATATATTCCAGTTTTGTACATACATTCAATTTGCATCTTTGGATGAAAACATGGCTATAGCTTACATCACACTTGCATTACCAAGACCAATGACTGACGCATTTGTTTTAGGTTTCAGAGAGCTCCATTATCAGCTCCACAGTGGAAAATTTTTGACTGTCCCGAATCTGCATGGAATGTAACAGTTAAGGAAAGCGAATTATTCAGTAGCCATGGGACGATAACAGTGTTCAAGGTATACTGCGACTTGGAAAACTCAAGGTTTTAAAATCGTCAAAATTTTCTGCTATACCGTTCCTAAGGTACGAGTAAGATTTTTTGATTTCCATTTTTTTGTTTTTTTAGGACAACAGTATCTCCAGCAGAAAATATATCCAAATATGCTGTTTTAAATCAGTGTTTTTGAATATAATGAAGGCAGCAGAAGTCAATAATTCATTTAAATATTTAGCCTGACATGTTTACGGTTCCAAAATACTTTAAACATTTCCCAAAATAAAATATATTGTGTACAAAGGGGAAAATGTTTTGGTTTTTACCCAGACATTTAAAAAGAATATATGTTAGAGCAGCAATCAAAATACCATGAAATACTGATATTTATATCCAAGGTTATCATACTGTCAGAATCTTATACTGGCCCATGCATGCCTACTATTCAGCCTAATAAATAAACACTTTGCTGAAACAAAACTCTTGAGCAGCACCATCACCATGTACTCTGTTATTGTTGTGTTTATTTAAAACTGACACATACTGCACATGTCCACAGACCTTACACTTAGTATGTGCATGACAACAACATTTTCAAAGATTCCTGTTTTGGGTGTTTGCATGGAAATGATAATGGCAATGTTTTCAAACTGTTGCACTTTGGAACCAGTTCTCAAAATTAAGCATTTTCAGTCCCCAAAACGTCACATAAAATCTGTGTAAACGGCTCCTTATTGACTATGTGGAATATTCATTCATTCATTCATTCATTACATCTGGAGTCGGCACAGTAGATTAAACCGCCAACTTATCCAGCATGTTTTACAAAGCGGGCGCCCTTCCAGCTGTAACCCATCTCTGGGAAACACCTATACACTCCCATTCACACACATACAATGTGTACAATTTAGCTTACCAAATTCACCTAGTGCATGTCTTTGGAAACTCTTTGTCTTTGTGGGGGAAACCGTGAGCACGTGGAGGAAACCCACGCGAACATTGGGAGAACATGCAAACTCCACACAGATATGCCAACTGATACAGCCAAGGCTCGAACCAGCGACCTTCTTGCTGTGAGGCTACCGACCGTGCCACCCGTAAGTGGAATATTTGTAGCATATTTGTAAAAAAATTTGTCATATTTGGTGCAGGAATTGCAAAATGCATCTCTTCTTGATGATGGCCAAGTGGAGCCAATTTTCTTTCACTGTGGCAATATTTTTAACTGGGGTCCACAAACTCTCTCACACGATTTTAAATAAAATGCATTAGTAGAAACAGATGAATTAAAATTGCTATTAAATTAAAATTATTTTATATTATAGCCGAATATTGGTTAAAAAAAACATACTATATACTGTTCACTGGTCATTTTGTGCATTTTAGACCGCAACCAGTGATTTATGAACACAAAACCTCAATTCAATGTAATGCAAAATTAAACATTTTGAATAAAAAAAAGGTTAAAAGGTAAAAGAGCTGTAAAATATTAATATAGAAAGTTTCCTCATATTAATGCAGCATACATGGGCCCTGTTTTCATGGATATTTTAGAGAGCTTTTCAAAGCAGTTTAATATATTCATTTATTCAGTCATTTTCGGCTTAGTCCCTTTATTCATCTCCGATCTCCACAGCGGAATGAACCGCCAACTTATCCAGCATATGTTTTACGAAACGGATACCCTTCCAGCTGCAACCCTTTACTGGGAAACATCCATATACATGGTGAGAACATGCAAACTCCACACAGAAATGCCAACTGACCCAGCCGGGGTTCGAACCAGCAAACTTCTTGCTGTGAGGCGACTGTGCTACCTACTGCGCCACAGTGCTGCCCCACTGTATGAGAAGATATGTATGTATTTATTATATAACTGTATCTATTAGTCTTACAGAATTAAATACCAATACCAATTAAGTTATTTTTCATTGTTTATATTGAACTTAACAGCTAAATTATTACAATAAAATACTCTGGGCATAATATTTCTATATTTTGTGCTTTATTCATTCATTCATTTTCTTTTCGGCTTAGTCCCTTTATTCATCAGGGGTCGCCACAGCGTAATGAACCGCCAAATTATCCAGCATATATTTTACGCAGCGGATGCCCTTCCAGCTGCAACCCATGACTGGGAAACATCCATACATACTCATTTACATACATACACTACGGACAGTTTTAGCTTACCCAATTCAAGTATAGCGCAGGTTTTTGTACTTGTGGGGGAAACTGGAGCAATATGTGCTTTAGTTAGGCGAAAAATAAAACAAAGAATTTTAAAAGCCAACTTTTTAAAACTATGGTTAATAAGTCTCACACTCTGGAAATCCCTTTTTTTTTACGATAGCCATCAAATGTGGTTTTCAAACCTTTTCATTTTCAAGGACCCTCAAATGCATGCGAAGATCTGGACCCCTTACTAAAAACCATGTTTACAGCTAAACTGTTCATGAAGATATACAGCTCCAATGTTCAGCTTAAAACCTTTACAGTTTTGGAAGGGCTTCAGAAGTCCTCGTATATGAGATTCCTGGGAAATTAAAAAGTTTGGAAACCCTGGTCGAGACTGGCCAATGTGGTCGTAAAAACACATGCAGCGGCCCCTACTTTATGACCAGAATCAATTCATATTAAGCTGCTTGCTTGTTTATTTAATATTCATGTCAACTGTGACTAGAAAACAACCATCGTGCCACATGGGTCTGTCATATAACATTAGTTAGCTTGAGAGGAGCAAAACTTTACGACTAAACGTATTACTTGGAAAATACACAACAAACCCGAGAGCCAGAGAAATATGCCAACGCTTTACATCAAATACCCGCTTCACTTACACTGATTTACGTGCCCTATATATTCACAAAGGCGGTGGCCGTGTTATGAACAGTTCACTGGAATGGAGAATGGAAACAGAATATGAGAGAGAGTGAGAGAGGGCGAGAGAGAGAGAGAGAGCGAGAGCGAAAGAGAGAGAGAGAGGGAGAGAGAGACTTTAAATTCCCAAAGACACATCACCCTTCGTTCACCCCAAAAGCCACGTATTTAAAAATGTGTAACAATGTCTCATAACACACATTCCTGTCCTCATCCAAGGTCACCGCTCTGTCCGGTTCTACAAACGTCAACACACGCGCACACTTAAATCTGATACATGAATCGAGCGCGCTGACCCGTTCATCTCTCCGTCTATCGTGCACTTTCTCCGGGCAAACGGGCAGCTACTCACCCTCCGACAGCTCCAGCTCGAGCTCCGCCAGCCGCGCGCGCACCTCCAACGGCAGCGGTAACGAATCACGGTCTGCCATTGCGACTCCAACACATCCGAGCCTCGCGCGTCTGTTTCTCCCGAGCACACGGTGTCAAACGTGTGTTTCACGGTGCAAAAATAGACCTCATGAGTGTAAGCGGGGACAGGCAGCGAGCAGTCGCGTTACTGCAAACGCGTCATCACCGGTCGGGGTTTAGTCGGTTTACGGTTTCTCCTTCAGATCTTGGATTGTAGTGGTGCACAGGAGCGAAGCTGCCCGTGTATCCACTGCGGTGCCACCGTCACCGTGCCCGCTACTGCTGCTGCTGCCGTCGCGCTCACGTGACCTCGGTGCTCGTTCAAACGCAGAGAGAGCTACAGTGCGCGCGCGCGCCCGCCCGCTCTAACGGAAAACGGCAGCTGTGTGAAAATATACAAAGCTACAGCGCCGTCATACATCAACCGGGTGATAGCAGACCCTCTAAATAATTATACGTAAATAATATAAGAATATTCTAATTTAAGGAGACTATGCGGTGAAAGTGAATAAAATGCATTAGAAATTAAAATTGTGTGTGTGTGTGTGTGTGTGTGTGTGTGTATAGGCCTATATATATATATATATATATATATATATATATATATATATATATATATATATATATATATATATATATATATATATATATATATATATATATATATAATATATCCTCGGTGTGTATATTTTCTTTTTTATCTAAACAAAACGAATTATTTAGTTATTGTGTTAATATTTGTAAATGTATTATTATTATTAAGACTAATATGCTAAAATATTCCTTGCCAAGTTTTTTGAAGTATTTTATTACATAAATGAAGAACATTGAGATGATGATGCCTCCTGCTGGTGCACGCTGTTATGACAGCAGAAGTCAAATCAAGGACGGTTCATAACCAAAATCCATCTTTAAAGGCCTATCAACTTGAAAAATATTGATGAAGACGAAGTGTCTCAATTATTTATGCGTTGATCTATAAACTCATTTTATTGCAAAGATGGTCATACATATTCATCCAGATTGAGGGTTGTTTCCCACCTTTTTGAGTCCATACACTCTGATAAAATTTGGCTTATTGTAAAACAACGTTTTGTTAAATATGGACAAACCCAAAGAGTTAATTTGTTTAAATTTAATTTCATTACTTTTTAACCCAATAGTTGGGCTTGTCTATACTTGACCCAATGCAATAACAAACGTTTGGTATATAACATGTTTGTGCATTTTAAATAGGTTTTTAGTTAATTGTTCTATGTTTGGCTGTTGTGTCTTGCCTTGTGTGTGCTAGCTTAGTTAGCAAACAAAGCAAGAAACTTTTAATTAAAAAATTTTTTTTCATGTATGCTCTATTAACAAACTTCAGCTAGTACAAAATGCAGTTGCCAGAGTTCTTACCAGGTCTAGAAAATATGATTATATCACCCCATTGTATCCTCCTTACTGGCTGCCAGTTAAGTTTTGTATTAATTTTAAAATATTACTTTTTACCTATAAAGCTCTAAATAATCTAGCTCCCGTTTATCTAACCAACCTTCTGTCTTGTTACAATCCAACCCGCTCTTTAAGATATCAAAACTCAGGGATTTTGGTAGGACCTAGAAGTCGAGTAAAGGAGGTTGAGACTTCTCATTTATGGCTCCTAAACTCTGAAATAGCCTACCTGATAATGTCCGAGGCTCAGACACACTCTCACAGTTCAAAATAGATTAAAGACCTATCTTTTTAGGAAAGCGTACACTCAATGCATCACACAGCGGTATGATGCATGAATGTGCTCCACACATCTTGTTTAAATACACTATGAACAGCAGCTATGCTAATTATTCTCTTTATTCTCTATTTCCACTTGGGGATACTCGTCCCGAGGCCCTCAGATATTATGCAGTGCCACTGAAGCGATTCAAGATCTGTGAAGAGATGATCCCAAGGTTTCCACAATCCCGGACCAGGCCGCAGCAGCTGCTGTGTTGGTCATGGAGGAGTAGAGAGCATTCATCTGATTTCTGTGAATCTCCAGGGACAAACAAGTCTTTGCTGAAGTCCAACATTCTCCAGCCTCCAGCACCTAGACTGAGAAATGAGAAATGAGAAATGCCCTATAGGAGAAATGGTCGTGCCTAACTGATCCTATAGTTTCTCTCAAGGTTTTTTCCTTCACTTTCGCCAATTGGTGAGTTTTTTCCTCTCCGTTGTTTCCACTGGCTTGCATAGTTCAGGACAGGGGCGGACTGGCCATCTGGCAATTCTGGCAAATGCCAGAAGGGCCGGACCATTTTTTTAAATGTGGGCCGGTCAGTTTTTTATTTAAATTTTTTATTTTATTATTATTTTTTATATGTATTGTTTTTACATGCAGGCAGCTTTTATCTCGTGCAACATGTGAATATTATGATGACATTGATGATGGTAATAAAAGTAAATGTTAAGCATTTGGCCCAATCGGTGATAGTTTCGAGAGGGGCCGACTCAATCAAAGGTTATGCGGAGATAATCAAAATCTGGCAAGAATGTCAAACAAACAGTACGTATGGTAATGTGGGCTGGTGTGGCTATAGTGCCAGGGCTGAATTTTTGTCCCAGTCCGTCCCTGGTTCAGGACTTGTGGAGCTTTGCATCGATGGATTGCTCTTCATTGTTTGGACTTTCAGCAGTGAAAATTAAACCACACTGACCTGAACTAAACTGAGCTGAACTGAACTTTAACTCTGAAAACTGAACGGATACTGTTTTAATTCACTGTAATCTTATGTGACGCTGCTTTGACACAACCTACATTAAGAGTGCTATACAAATAAATTACCTGAAAACCTTGAAAACTTTTTTCCACCTTTTCCAGATCCATGGATAGCAATTATTACACATTAAAAACGAGTCACTTCATTTGGCGAAGAGAAACACTAAACAAGACACTTTTAAGTAAACATTTTATACTGGTTTTGAAGTGAATTTGCATACTGTACGTGTTCTTTTGCTTTGTAATGTTATTCTAAAAATAAACATCTATTTAAAACACAGCTGATTTCTTTCCTTTAAGGCATACAGCAGATTAAGACAGTCTAATAAATAGTAGCTTTAGCCCATAAAAAACATCCAGGCAGGAGTTGATTTATTACTTGTGGTTAGCAAGTCATGCACTTGGCCTACCTAATGCCCTTGTAAGAAACACACAACATAAAAACCAACAGCCGAGAACCAGACAGTAAAAACCACCTTAAAGACACCATAAAACAGAGCGCACATATGTGCAGAGTTCAGAGGAGAGCTAAAATTAAACGTCTGAGGGCTTGTTTGATCACTCTTCATTTATTTTGGTACAGATGCTACAGTATTTAAGAGGAATATTGAAAGCACAACAGAGCCGACCAGTTAATATGAGACACTATACGCAGTGTATTTTCTCAATTATGTAGTGATGAAAAGAGAAATCAAAGTATTAATTCTGTAAAACTTGGAAAAAGAATTTTGAAGCAGACTTTCAAACAGATCTCGCCACCTATTTACTCCCATAGTATTTATTTTTTAATAAATAACTATGTCAGTTAATGAGTGGCAAGATCTATTTGATTATAACTTTCTTCCTGTCTTTGAACATGCTCAGAACAGTGAAGATGATAGTGGACTTCAGGAGAAACCACCCTGCTTTCCCCCACTGAGCATCATGGACAGCATTATGGGACACTTACATTGACTCCATTGTCAAAAAAAAACTCGACAAAGGTTGTACTTCCTTCATCAGCTGAGGAAGTTCAACCTTCCAAAGGTGCAGTTGAAACAATTCTACAATTCCATCATTGAATCACTCCACTGCACGTCAATAGCTGTCTGGTTTAGCTCAGCTACCAAATTGGACTTCAAGACTACTTCAAATAGTTCTGACTGCTGAGCGATTCATTGGTACAACCCTCCCTACTCTCCAAGAACTGTACTTATTCAGAGCGAGTAGAAGGGCTGCCAAAATCACTCTGGATCCCTCACACCCAGCACACTGCCTCTTTGAACTTTTACCTTCTGGTCGACGCTACAGAGCACTGTGCACATGAACAGCCCGACACAGAAACGGTTTCTTCCCTCAGGCATCCATCTCATGAACCATCTCATATACTTCTCATGAAGTAGAAAAACATTACTACTTGCTATACACTTTTTATACACATATACACTTATTATACAACACACATGCCAATTTGCCCATGACAGCTGCACATAAAACGTTCATTTTGAATTATGTGAACAAAGAAAAAACATGCCTAGACGATCAACATATTTTTCTGAGACCCCGCACATTGACTTGTGTCCTCTGTAGTGGACATTGTGTTTTCATGAATTTTCTTTGAATTTTTTGAACTACTTTGTCAAGTCCTGTTGTACTATTCAGAGGACATCCTGACCTTTCTAGTCATTTCATTTGATTGGCTGACATGCTAGGAACCACTTTTTACACTGCATCCAAAATGGCCCCGACATACAAAAAAGCACAATTTATGAGAAGGAGAGAGGCATGTAAAATTAAGCTTTTTAAATGTTTTTTTTTACTCTTATTATTATTATTATTATTATTACATATATATTTGTTAATTAAAGTGTCAGGAACAAAACATTTAGCTTTCAAAGCTGTTAACTTGTTTGTGTTTCAAAATACCATTCTTTATTAAATGTCCACTATAGTGGAAAACAGGACCATCTTAATGTAATTAATGACTGCATTTTGTAGGGGGCAGAACTGAAGCAGTGAGGATTCTTTATAAGATAATTAAGGGAGACTCTGATTTAGAGTCTGACTATAAGATAATTCGAGAATTAGAGACAATTAGAGAATGACAATCAGTTTTAAATCACTTTTAAGTTAAATTTAAACTTGTTCGGCTCTCTTTCAGACAAAACAGTTTCAGGAATTTCAATACAAAAGCAAAAAAAAAAAAAAAAAAAGGCTTTTGTTTTGTTTTAGTTACATTAATATTGGACTAATATCCCTTTACAGCCATATCCTACAGTTTTGTTGTCTGAGTGGCGACTGTGGTCCACTACAGTGGACATGCTGTAAAATTAAAAATAAAAACAAATTGTAAAAACTCTAAATTGTAGATTTTTTTTAACCCAAAGGATGTAAAAAATCACAGAAAAAGAGAGAAAAAAAATATTTTTTGGGGTCTCGGTGGGATATAGCAGTATGCATAGTTTTACATGTAATAAGCAATATACAGGTTGTTAAATAATAATATTAATAATAATGCCAACAACAACAATAGTGACAATAAAAAGCAAAAATTGAAGACTTAATGACAAAGACATACTAAAACAAT